GGCCCGATGGACCAAATTTCCCAGCACGTCGGCCAGTTCGCTGTTGTGCGCCTGGAGCATGGCTTCGGGGGAGAAATTCACGTCGCCCCCGAAGGGGTCTTTGCTCAAGTAGTACCGGAAGGTATCAACGGGCACCCGGGCAATCATCTCGTGCGGGTCCACAACGTTTCCCAGAGACTTGCTGGGAACGGAAGGGGCCGGGAGGAAGAGGGTAGGGGATCGGAGGGAGGGAGGAGCGTGTGTTGGGCGGGATCTGAGATTCTGGGCATGGACTGTTACGAAAAAAGGCAATCTCTTTCCTTTCCCCCTCTCGGCTCTTTTGTCCTCGCCATCTTCCTCTTACCTCATCTTCCGCCCGTCCCGGTCATGGATGAAGCCGTGGGCGAAGACGGACGTGGGCAAAGGGAGGTTCGCCGACATCAAAATCGTCGGCCAGATCACGCAATGGAACCATATGATGTCCTTCCCGATGACGTGCACGTCCGCGGGCCAGAAAGTCGGCGCCGCTGGATCCAGCCATCGGATGCCGGTCAAGTAGTTAGAGAGGGCGTCGAACCAGACGTACAGGACGTGGGCGGGAGCAAAATTCTCGGGCACGGGAATACCCCAGTCAAAGGTGGTGCGCGATATGGACAGGTCTGTCAATTCCTCCTCCAGCCGGGAGAGGATGGAGTTTCGCCGGGTGTCGGGGAGGATGAAGGAAGGAGAGGCTTGGATGTGCTGGATCAGGGCGTCTCGGTATTTGGACATGCGGAAAAAGTAACTGGTTTCTTCCATTTTTTTAAGGGGAAGACCACTGGCCGGGTCCTTGTAGTCGGCGAGCTTGGCTTCATTCTCCGTGACGAACGTTTCCTCCCGCACGTTGTACCAGCCCTCATACTTGCTGCCGGATGCCAGGGGGAAAGGAAAGGAGGGGAGCGAGCGACACGTCGAGATGAGCAAATGGGGCCGCAGAGATGCCGCAGGGACGTCCACGGAGCCAGGACTACTTGTTTCACTGCCACAGGACAGGCATGGGTTGAGGCAGACGAATGCTAACATACTCACCTTAGGTAGATGTCACCTGCCGCTGCGCAACGATTCCAGAGCTCCTGCGCCGAGGCGTAATGCTCCGGCATTGTTGTCCGCACGAAGAAATCGTTCGAGATGCGTAGGGAATGGTTCAAGGCCTGAAACTTTCCCGCATACATGTCGCACAGTTCGATCGGCTTCATCCCCATTCCCTCGGCCGTGGTCGCCACCTTCTGTCCATGCTCATCCGTGCCGGTCAAGAAGAAGACTTGCTGCCCAACCATGCGATAATAACGCGCGATGACATCGGACGTCACGGCCTCGTACGCGTGCCCAATGTGGGGGTTCCCATTCGTGTAGTTGATGGCAGTGGTGATGTAAAATCGTTCAGTAGCCGCAGGACCGCCGGGCAAAGTCACTCCAGGGTCCCCGACCAAAGGCGCTTTTGGGTCCTCCACGATGGCAGTGACCACAGGCTTCTCGCCTGTTTTCCCTCTCCCACGGCCCTTGCTGGAAACGTTGGGAAGACCGCCCGTGGCTTTGGAGGTGGTACTCGCAGAGGGAGGGGTCAGACCTAGGCTGGCAAGGTGCAAGTGGAGGGTGGAAGAGGCTTCGTCTGCGTCCAGGAATGCGAGGCCATCCGGATCTAATACGCTTGGTGGCCTATCCATAGACCTTCAATGCCATTTCGATCCAAGTTTGGCGAATGTGGGTGGATTGTATGTTAGAAACAGGTTGGATGGGAAGGGCGTATGAAAACAGGCTTGAGCGAGGGCTGGCGAGCCTTGAAGCCTCTATCACCCTTTTCATCACGCTCTCACCCGCACGGGAACAAACTATTCGTTTACACCTGACAGGACCGGTGTCATGTCTTCGTGAAGGGCCACAAGGTTGCGTTGGTTAGTTGTACGTTCCGGGTGTCCAGGATATTTTGGTCTTAGCGGAGCCGCACGGTGCTCCTCGCCACATTCGGTCGCCTCGCGTCACGAGCTTCAACAACCCATTATGTCACCAATGCGGTCGAGTCCGAGATCATTCCCTTACCCCGCGCGTAAGGCCTCCTTCGTGGTTTCAGTCTTGTGGTTACTTTTGCACCTGTCTCTGGTTGCGCATGGATTTTCGCCAGGGTCTGTCATCCGCGGGCAACGTGCCTCGCCCGGGTCCCCGTCAGCCTCCTCACCTCCCCCTCCTGGACGTGCATTAAGGCGCGTCCGGGGCAATATCTACGTCGAAGTCAGCTCCACGGCCTACCCTGGTACGTCTGGGACCAGGGGAGGGAGTTCGACGCCCCCCCTACCAGCTTCCAGCGGGGTGCGTGGAGATCCGGTGACCGTACAGCAAGTTTTTATATGCACCAGCCGGTGGTGCATGCAGCGGGGGGCTGGCGCGACGATGGGGAGTTTCATTGGCTTGACGCCCTATGGAAGCAAGGTGCGGGTGCAGGGTGTGGATTGCCTCGGACGCTGCAACAGGGGTCCGAATCTGCGTCTGCTCCGATCGAATGGCACCTTTGAAGAGCTGAGTTATGTGGATTCCGTGGACAAGGCAAGCAAATGGGGGGGAAATGAGGGCTAGGGATGTGGGCGAAGAGTGTATGTTCTCGGTTGCCAATGAGTTGAACGGTCGCAATGATTTGGGTGCATTGCGGCGGATGCTGGCGAAACGGCGTGTTTGCGTGCCTCGACCCTGACAAGAAACCAACGACGGCCTCCCCTCCATTCAACAGGTATACGACGTATTCACCAGCCAGCTCGGCATCCGCATCAACCAGTCGTCGGCGGACTGCCTCAAGCTCAACTTCCAGGGGAACGCTCATCTAGACAAGAATGAGGTGGACCGCGCGATCGAATGCTACGACAAGGCCATCCCCCTCTCCCACCGCGGCCAAGAAGGCGTCCTGCGGGTCATGCGTTCCACGGCCTACCTCCAACGTGCCTACACGCACTTCATGCAGTTCCGGGAGCTGGTGGAACAGGCGGCGCAACCTCTTCCCGACCAGGCTTTCCTCGCTTTCCTGCAGGCCACCCACGCCTCCTCCCCCTTCCTCGTCCTCCCCGTGCTCGCCCACCTCTCCCGGGCCTACCAGGCTCGAGACCGGCTCTACCGCCTGACCAAGTTCCAGTTTTCCCTCTTTGAATTCGCCGTGCACAAGGCTTGCCACGACGCCCTCACCGCCACCCACATCCTCCCTCACTTTACCAAGTCCTGGATTCGGGCCGGACTTGTCGGGCGACTTTTCTCG